GGTGGTCTTTCTTGGGTCTGGCATGTCAGTGATGTGTTCACTTCCACGTGCATCTCTTCCTGAGCTGTTTGAACATCCGGCCGCCTTGGCTCTTCCATCAGCCAACCTCGTAAGCCACTCCAGCTACTTCAGGCACCTACCTTGTGCCAGGGTGCGTAGGAATCAGTAAATCTTCCTATACCATCCTGAACAACTCTCCAGCAGACCCTGCAGCGCTGAAAGAGGCCAAAGCGAGAAACCTTCAAATCCGCCAAAAGCAAAGCGATGAACCCTTGCGGTAGGTTCGGCAGCTGGACATGAGACAATGCTACACGCCGTCCTTTGCAGTGTTCTCAGGACCTGCTTGTTGTGGAACATCAGCAAACCTATTGACCACATTTGTTTTTCCCGTGGTCTGCATTCTGTGCAGAACCCAGTTTCCAAATCTACCGGTTCTTTGTCTTTGCAATTCGCAGGCTGGAAAGAGAGGGTTGATCATAGGAACCTGGCAAGAAACTGTCCACCTATTGGGTGGGGCCGAGCTGCCTTTGCTTTTGACTGACTTCCTTGGAGAAGTTGGACGCACTTCCTTCGCTCGGCACTTCCTTCGCTCGCAGCGGAAACCAAAGGACCTGTTTATCGTCGAGAGTGCCTTCTTTTGGGTTTGTTCTAAAGGGAGACGAAGAACCTATTTTGAAGCCTCGAGACAAACTTCCGACTTGTCGTCGTCAGGAGCCGAGCCGGGTCGAGGAGAATCTGCTGGCGGCTGCCATCGCGCATGCGACGGTCCTGCTCCGGGGGAAGGTGAGAATGCAGCCGGAGGACGGCGGGATGTTGCTTGGCTGCAAGCAGATCCGACGACTTTGACGGGTTTAGCTTTCGGAAACACAGGAGATGTTTCTCTACATATTGACGTCCGCGAGACAACGAACCTTGATTTTAGATGTTTCCTGTAGCTTATTTTTTGATTGAAGTAATTTTCCGTGACTCGCAGTGCATTGTGGGATCCTGATGTGTTGGGGCAGTCATGAACACCAACTACTGGAGTTTGTTTGCTCCCGAGATGGAGATGCCTCTGGGGGCATGTGATGTCCGTATGGCCATGTTGTCCCTGAGCGCCTAGCTTTAAGAATCATTCTGAGGTATTCTTGCACATGAATCAATCAACAAGTTGTTTGACGTCTAGTTTGTTTGACATATTCTTTTTTACACATCCCCGTTCCCGCTGGAGAGGTGATTTCCCATCATGTTCCGAATCTTCAATCCCAAGTAAAGCTGGCCATGGGATGAAAAAGAAGATGTGTGGAACAGTCCCAGAGTCAACCAATGTTTGCCTAGGGACCCCAAGAGCTACTTTACACTTATTTAGGAGCATTGTTTGTCAAGGATTGCTGGTGCTACCCTGGTATCAGCCATATTGCTTCAAAAGGTTTGCCAAAAAACAGGGGAAGCGGTTGGGGATGTTGTCCCAGGAAGTTGAGGCTCAACCGAAATCAAGCCAATCAATCGGTAAGCCCAAACCTAGGAAACGGGAAAAGAACCAGTCCTTCAAAAACCAACTTAATATTGAACTTAGGTTTTCCCTTCTTCCATCCATTCATCCCTGCCCGGGCTCGAGGAGCTTGGAGTTGCTGGGTGTTTCCAAGGGCGAGGTCCTCTCTGCAGCTCGCCTTGCGTAGCTGTGCCAGGTCGCCTTTGCCTTTTGCCTTTTGCCTTTTGGGTGTGTCTGGTTTCGAGATGGCACCCTTTTTCGTAAGGCGAAACCGCGAGGCCAACCAAAGAAGTGGGGATCCCCTAGAAAAGCGGCACTCTTTTGCTTTGGTGTTGGCCTTGCTTCCTGACGGCGCCTCTTTCTGGCCTGCTTTTGTGCCAAAGTGGACCAGCTGATATACGCCGGTGCTTCGGCCTCGTGTTTGTTGGTGCTGCTTCCGGTGATGGTCAGGGATGACAGCTTGCTCACGGATGGCTTCCTTTCAAGGGAGTGAGTCTACAGTGCCAATGCTGTGCAGGGAGGTTCCTCATACAAATGTCTTTTATCATGAATCCTAGAAAGTTTCTGTTTTGTGGGGTCCGTCCTTGGGGATGACCAGCATAATTTTTAACGGTAGGCCCACCATGAAGTGAAAGCCTCCCATTTCCCGCACAGAGAACGCTGTGACTACGGTACAATGGTATGTTGCGACGTAGTCTTGAAATCGTTCAAGTGTCGGCATATGAGTGGTTTGGACGAAAGACATGGGCCACCGCCCGAACTCCTTCGTTTTCAGCTACAAACTTGAAGTCCACCAAGAGTTCCCGCCTGTATGATACAAGGGTTCGTCTTGAAATATGGGGAAGTGCCTGAAATTGTGCTGTTGGGCCTTGATCTCCCTCGCTGTTGGACTTGGTGACGATCCACTCACCGCCCCGGCAACCCCCCAAAAAGGAATAAAAAGAGACGCGCGGAGGCGAGCAGCCAGCTCAAGGACATGCTGGAGATCAAGACCAGCGCGGACGCGCAGCGGTGCAGCGCTATCACCCG